GCTAATGATTTATTTGAGTTTTGAGGCCAAAAAAGATGATTGTGAAGGTGGCGGAAGTTAAGGCCGGTTTTCACTTTGTCAAATTCAATTGCATTTGTCGTCAAGTAGGTAAAAAACACATTGTCAAAAGGAACTAAGAAACGGTTCAGTGATTCATTTAGATCAGAATAGGTCTTCAGTCGTGTATATGAGCTGCTAAATTGGCTATCTGTCCGTTTTTGGCCCATAACAATCGGTATGCATGAGCAATCAACATAAAAATCAACAAAAGCTACACTGGGTTGCATGCACATTGCTTTTATTTTCATAAAACATCGAACAATGTTTCGAAGAATTTTTCTACAAATAAACAGAATGGAGCTGATAAAATTATTAGTAAAAATTAGTTATTTTTATAGTTATTTATATTTCACTAGAAAAGAATTTAATGGTTTAATGCATTAAAATTTTTTCATTAGCATAATGCATCGAACTTTTTATTTGTATTAAATTTAAAAAATTATTGCATTAATATTTTACATTAACAATATTGCTTTAAGTACCATTAATGCATTGAAAAATTAATGCATTTTTCCCAACTATGGTATTTTATTTACTGAATCTTTTGAGTGCACTTGCACTTACTTAGCAACGCTTTTCATATACATATATTTTTTATAACATCATTTGATTGATTTAGTTTTCAACATCGCTGCGATTTTAAATAAATCTTTCCCCAACGACAATTGAAATTGAATTAATTTTTTAATGCTTTTAATGAAAAAGAGGCTGTTTAAGGCAAACGGCCGGAACTCATATATGTTTTGAGTAATGATGCTTGTTCATACCTAGCATTAAATTGAACTAGTTCGGTGCTAGTGCAGAGCTACTAGTTCAAAAGGTGGTCGAACTGGTTCTCAATTTGGGTATAATAACGCAATGCTTTCTTTCGGCTGCATTTTTAAACTTGACGATGTTCTACGAAATGGCAATTATCCTCCTCTGGAGAACTTACGAAATGTCGCATTTTACGAAAGGGGGAAATTTGTGCATACAAATGCTTCTCAGCTTTTAGTTTCAATATGAGATGGAATGGTGTCAGCCTTACTAGCAAAATGCGAGTTTCAACTGGCTAGTTATGCATCCTTTTTGCAGTAGTTCGGATGCAGTTACCAAATGTGTAGTGAGGGGCCTAGGTACATTGTCAGGCCGCCGCATAAGTTTTGCTGCACTGTATGTACATACATATGTACATACTTATGTAAAAGTGTATGTGTAGAAACTATCGATGGGTTGTGTAGGTTTCGTATTAATTGTTTTTAAATAAGGAAATCAGTGCTGAGTAAGTGACCAAAGTTGTCGGTTCATTTATGGTTGGCGAAAACTCTTGCCAAGTGGGATGGGATTATTTGCTGCTTTCTGTTCTAGATGCAGACACGCGCGCATTTGATAAATCTGTTGCTTTGTTGCTTTTTTCCACATCCAAATCACAATTGTGTTCTGATTTTCTGATTGCAGGTAACAAGTGGGCATGAGCGTCTAAAAGCAACACATTTGGAATTAAATTTAAGTCAAATCAAATAATTTACTCGAAAATATTAAAGGTGTGTGTGTGCCACAATACAAAAGGCGAGGACCATTTTTTATCTATACGATTGGGAAGTTCAGTGAAACAGTATTGGATCCAATATCAATCGCAGCTTAAACTAAGCCCAGAAATGGCGCGACACATTATGGCGGTGTGTGTGGTGTGCCTGCTGTGTGCAGACCGAATACCTTGCCAGGAGCACGTCGCAAGTGATTATGTGGCCAGGGAGACCGGCAACCCGCAGCCGAGTTTTGAATACCAACATTTAAATTCTAGAGTCTATGTGCGCCGTGATATCTCGAATTATCCTACTGAATCTGCTACTGTATTTGGACACCCCGGTGATGCAAATGACCTTGCAACGACGCGGAGATTTAGTGCGAACAATGACCACAATAAACCGCATCGACGAAAACGTCATGCCGGCGGCCATTCACACGGAGAAGAAGATAGCTTGCATCAGCAACCGGAAGTTACGGCGGAGTTCCTGCAGCGTATATTTGATCAGTATGGCCATGAGAGCGATGGCACTCTGACAGTTGACGAGTTCCAACGAATTCTAAAAAATCTCGGTTTGAATCAGCTGATTGAACGAAACGATTCCCAGCAAAAGCAAAAAGTTCATGATCAACCGAGAGATAAGGAGACCGAGCCTAGCAATGAAACTGTAAGTAATCGTTAAATGGTCATTTTGCATGCCTTTCTATAATACGCACCAATAAATTTCGCTTTCCCCATTTGCAGTGCGTGAGCGCCATATCACTGGTTCGTCATGTCCAGCCACACACGCTGCTTGACCACAAAGGCGCACACCAAGGCGACATCGTAAATTGTAGTAGAAACGGCAGCGATTCCAAAGCACTTGATTGTACGCACGCGCACGAAGGGCGAGCGAAGAATAGCACAGATCATCTACATGATACGAATTATACAATAAGCAAGCAGGATTTGTTACATTTGTGTCCAGTATTGCTCTACCAAATCGCGTCACCACTGGCAATGGAGCGAGCAGGGTGCTTAAATCCGTCACTTCTAGCTCACATTGATGGCGTGGAAGCGAGTCGATTCGACGTCAAAAAAGAGGACATTATGTACGGTGAGTATTTAACTTTTTCAATGTTAGAATCCATTTTACTGTAAGTCTGGTTGTTATACATATCGCAAGCGAAATACAAAAAGTCAAAACACTATTTGTGCAGAATCGATTATAATATTATTTAAATTTATTGAAAAGAAGATTCAATCACGTTTATGTTTTGTAATTTAACATTTCTATTGTGTCCTTGCAATATTTACAGTGAAAGTGAAACCTATCTTAACCAGACTCTCATGGCTTCACATTTTTTCCACTTATGGTGGAAGTCCGGCCATGGAAACTGAAGTACAAAACTGAAAGTTGATGTTTTGGAAGCACAAACTTAAATTATTTAGAACCTGCATTTTTTCGAATTAAAAGCTAAAGACTTTTAAGCATTAATAAATCCCGCTTTATGTTTACATGTGTACGCATAGTGGAATCATATAGAGAATTATTTCAAAATTTTAGTTTTGTGGAATAACGCAATCAAAGCTAAATCAATTGCATTTGGTCCACAAAAAGCCAAAAGAAAAGACACACATCGTCACCTTAATTCAAAAAGGCCGTAACCACCACTTTTTTCAAAACTGCGTTTTTCACAGATTTTGGTATGAAAAAAAATGTAAAAATGTAAAATGTTAGTACCAAAAACAACGGAGTTACATGCCACTTTCTAAAAAGCCCTACCTGTTTTTTATACTCTTTTTATGATGTTTTTTGCTTCTCCTGTAAAATAAAAAATGTGTTGGTAAAGGCCTTTGTGAATTAAGGTAACAATATGTATATAAACCAGTTTTGGGAAGTTTAGTTATCTGTTGGCTTGATATATTCTCCTTGTCAAGCTTATTGATTGTATGATTAAATCGCTAAAAACGTAAATTTTAAATTACTTCTCTATATTATTTGCGATCCCGTACGAGTCCGGTCAGAAATAGTCAGAATTAATCAGATTTTACTGGAAATCGATCCCGTACTCAGTTCTCTGACTATTGAGAGAACAAAAAAGAGAGTAAATAAGGTAAATTCTAGTAAATGTGTCAAACGATCAGCTGTAGCATGATAAAAACATTACAAGGTAAAATCATTGAGAGGCAGTCTGACGTTTGCCAACAATATAATTTTAAAATTCGAGCTCAGGCTCACACGCACATTCTCATTTTTAATCTCAAACAACAACAATTGTGAACAATTTCATTTTTTTATTTTCAATTTTATATGATTTTAAAATGTTTGCAAACGTCAGAAAAAAATCATGGCCGACGAATTGAGAGAATGGTTTTACCTTGTAATGTTTTTATCATGAGCTGTAGTGTGTTGGGCAACCAAATTGTAAACAAAAGAAAAGTGCACTCTGCTAATTCACGTTAAAAAGTTTTTAATTACTTTTTTAAGTGAATTCTAATGAATTTAAAATTTTTTTGGGTTATTTACATGAGTAAGCTGCGTGTGTTTACATACAAAATAAGCAAAAATTTACGAACAAAATTTGGACGTTATGTCGAAGTTGACAGAATTTACCATTGAGCGAATTTTTATTTTTTGACAGTTTAACTACTCTTAGTCCGAGGAATACGGGATTGGACCTAATGTTAGTCGTCCGATATCATGTTTTTAACATATGTGTGTACATGTCTCTGTTAAATTCCAAACTTGTGTCTATAATTTTCGATTGTTCGATTTAGTTAGCCTTTAGATTTTCGCTGAATTATTTATTTTCGCTTAAACAGAATACCACACTCGGCTGAACTCCTATTTACAAGTAAAGAGGCATAAATTAAAATTAAAGTGTCACTGTTCAAAGTAATACTCTATTTGATCTTCAAACCAAATTTGGCATGAGATGACGAAAAATTAATCCACAATACATCATAGTCCTACCCTGTCGGAAACATCTATAACCAAAAAGAAAACTATATACTATATGTTGCAAATAGGCATAGTTATCCTGGAGCACTTAAACATTAAAAGTGGCATAACTGTTTCTTTCAGTTTACGAACATTGAGATTTATAAGACATTTTTGCAGTAGTTAGAAGTTCGTAGGACGGCCGCTATGGCTGAGCTGAGTGGTAAGAGGTGCGTACTACCACTCCGTAGTAGCCAGCTTCGATACCTGGTTAAAGCAACACTTAAATTAGAAAAAAAAAGAATTCGAAAAGCGGTTGCCCCTCGGCAGGCAATGGCAAACCTCCGAGTGTAATTCTGCCATGAAAAAACTTCTAATAAAAGCTGTGTAACAACATCACTTAGCGAGAGTGTTAGAGCCGAAATATTATTATTTTAGAAGTTTGTACTACAACTTATAAATGCTAAAAAGTAGATTTTTATGTATATACATATATTCGATCAATTTCAGTTTGGATTTACGCATTTATATCGGTTTTCGCCTGTGGAATTTTGGGCCTGGTTGGCGTAGCGATCATTCCTTTTATGGATTCTCGGTACTATAAGTACATTATCCAATATTTGGTGGCACTGGCTGTTGGAACAATGACCGGTGATGCGCTGTTGCATTTACTACCGCATGTGAGTGTATAAACATTTTACATTTAAAACATTTTCATTACTAATTTAAATGTACACATATATGTATATTAATTTCAATAGTCTTTGGCTGGACAGAGTGAGCAAAATATGATACTTAAGGGACTCGCTTGCATGAGCGGCATCGTCTTCTTTTACATAACAGAACACGGCCTTACCATGATATCAGAGTGGCGCAAACGCATAGCCAAGAGTGATACGAAACAGCAATCGCGCGCAAAGGTGGTACGTGATCCCGATTCTTCGGTCAATAACTCAGTCGCTGGCGATAAAGTTTGCAAATCAAAATACAGCTCTTATCCTTACTGTTACGATGAGATTGCCATGGACACGAAGAACGACATGCACCTGCCCGGCTCTAAGTTGAATAACATATCTGATTTGTCTAGTGATTTAATGGGTGTTGGCAATAATGTGGAGCGCAAACGCAACGGCAAAGCTGACGCAGACGGAAACGAAGCGGTGGCACAGTCGCTAATACCTGTGTGGCACCACAACCATCAAGATCACCATCAGCATCAGCAACAACAGCATCAGCACCACATTCATCTGCCCGACAGCAATACAATCTCCACAGATTTGGATGGTCATTCTATGGGAGGAACGGACGGGCATAGTCACTCCCTTACCTACAATCCAACGGTGGCAACTAATGGAAATGCCAAAGAGCGTTCTTTGACCAGTGATTCGGTGCCGACTGTCATATTGCGCGAGCATGAATCTTCGCATCATGGACACAGTCATAAACACGGACACGTACACTCGCCTCCGGAATCATTGAGCGCCGTTGTCTGGATGATAATCATGGGCGATGGCTTACACAACTTCACCGATGGCATGGCAATAGGTGCGTTCTAATTTAAGGCATATCACTAAACGATCGATTATAGAAATGTGATGGCTTTATAAAAAAGAGAACCATTTTGAAATATGAGTGTTTTTACGCTCTAGAAAATAATTTCTAAAACTTCACATACGCGGTTTTGCATTTTGCTGATACGCGGTTTTGCATTTTGTTGATACGCGGTTTTGTACTTCAAACGACGATAACTAAATTAAATATTTCTTGAATTTAGTACAACAAAAATAGATTCGTTTATTTATATAACTTATTTCTTCTACTAAAACAACCACATTTCCAACAAACTTTCCTTAAGAATACATACCCAAATGATTTATGTATTTCAGGCGCTGCATTTGCAGAGAATATTGCCGGTGGCTTCTCGACATCGCTGGCGGTGTTTTGCCATGAGCTGCCACACGAACTGGGTGACTTTGCGATCCTTATAAAAGCCGGCATGTCCATCAAAACAGCGGTATATTACAATTTGTTGACGAGTGTGCTTAGTTTCATCGGCATGATATTCGGTATTGTTTTCGGTCAATCGCCGAACATAGCACAATGGATGTTTGCTATTGCGTCTGGTCTCTTCATCTATATTGCGCTGGTGGACATGGTGAGTTAAAAAAAAAAACGAGAACACGCTCTAATGAGAAATCGTTCGTCTGACTTATGTGCTATCTTACAGATGCCGGAACTGTCATCAGCTCACAAGACTCTGGAACAATTTGTGCTGCAAATACTCGGAATATGCACTGGTGTATTCATAATGCTTTTAATTGCGCTGTACGAAGGAGATCTAATGAGCCTGTTTTCTTCATCGTCATCAGCAGCGTCGACCACCTCGGGCCAACAACATAATCATTAGTCGGGGGCCCAAAACATTTTGGAATGTGTTGAAGTAAAGTAAAGAGAAAACTCACAAGCCGCCACACATATAAATACATAAACGTACGCACATTGATTGCAAAAAGCTCACAATAATTCGATAATTTACATACCTACATACATACATGTTTTAACCACTCGCACGCAAATACTGTACATGTATGATATATTGATTGATGTTTACATATACATACATATTTAAACGTCTGATTAAGCTACGGCATGGCCAAGCTATATTGTGAACTTTCCGCATGATGCCGATGTTGAATTGAATTGAAAATGTTTCTCGCACCAAGGTCAACATTTTTCGGCTTTGTGTGTGTGGTAAATAGCCCATTTTTATTAATACTTTATAGCGATAATGTCATAAAAGCAAGTGAATAACTTTAGTCGTAAGCCAATGAGAAAGTAGTTGATTAAAATCAATTGAAAAATAAACTGTGGAATTTAATATTTTTCTGCTCTATGCTAAGATATGTAAATTGTGGTGCTGCATTCCTCATGCATGCATATATGACTACAAATATTTATATGTAGTATATGTATACAATTAAGGTGCGCAACTACATTTGAAAATGTATTTTGTTTAAAATTGCCAGAAAGAAGGTCGAGAGAATCTTTAGCCGAATATAATTCAAAGCTCGGAAAATAACGTAGTAGTAAAGCAATTGAAATGAAGTTTATTATTCACACAATTAAGTTGCAAAGTAAAATTCACTAGTTATTACATTTTGTATACTTTTTGTACACAAACACAAAAAAAAAGGAAAGAAAATTATAACGGTGTAATAAACGGACATTGCAATATCCAGTAGATATTTCAAAAGTTGTTATTGAGAGCACATAAATACATACATAATTTGTACTATTAGTGATACTGATAACCCTAATATTATTAAAGCAGGGATCATATGAATTGCACATTTACACAGATACAGAGTGATGCTGTATGGAAAGTTGCTATCGAGCTTAATTCATTATTTCTAGACAACACCACTCCGTAACTGCCAAAATGTACAAATCGTGTGTGATCTCTGCTTAACAATGAACAACAGTAGTAAAAAAAAAATCACGTATATTACATAGCACTCAATTATAAGTACATTGTAAATCTACAAAAAAAGCCTAAGTTCAATTCGTAGAGTATTAATTATATTTTATGTAAATATTTTTCAAAAAATAATTAATGCCAATTCTTTTCGTGCGCCATTGGGGAAAATTTAGTATCAGTTGCATTTTTAGAAATCACTATAATTTAGCGAACAATGTTTATTTCCAATACAAGTGGTTTTCGATCTGCTTAATTTTTGGGAAAACAGCACGCCTGCATTTTTTCATAACTTCTTCACTCAACAGTTTACACGTCATTTATTTCAATAAACACATAGTATCGTACTTTTTAAAATTAATTTTGTACTTAACTCGATTCTCAGTTTTTTTTTTTTGATGATTAAGTATTCGTATTAGTTGTAGTTAAGTTACGATTTTAAGAAGTTAAACTTGCACGCGTACATATATCGTTTTGCAAGGCTATGTTTGTTAAATAAACGCAAACATTTACACATACATATAATAAAATCAAGCAATACGGCAGCTCACTTAAGCGTAAAAGGTTAAATAAAAGCAGTTTTACTTTCATATTTTATAATACTTTGTGTTTCATTTGCTTGTTTTGGGCACAGCCATATTTTCACTATTAGTTTTGCCTGGAGTCTTTTTTGAACTACTTTTGGTAGGTAGGATGTATATCCTTACACGGCACAATTTTGTTTTACAAAAATGTCAATATTTCACAAAGCAGAAACCAACATGCAAAGGATTTCCTAATGATTAACTGTGAAATTCAAAGAATGAAAATTAACGAATAAAAATGTGATGTTTACCTTTGAATAATATTTAACGTACTACATATAACTATAATTGTATGCATCAAGGAAACTATAGGCACAATAAAATGCAAAATAAATGTTTTCCACTACACTTGCAAACAGTAGACTTCCTAAGGTTACCTAACTATTTATGCTAAACACGGGTTTGTATATACATACATACATATACATAAGTATGTACTAGCCTGAGTGCACGCACGTAGGTACTACATTTTATGAACTGTAAAAAGAAATAAATAAATGCAACTTTTTCGCCGCATTAAAATTTTTAAAAGAAAAACTTTCCTATAAAAAATACGCGTTTTAATGAAAGAAGGGGGTTTTAATTTATTGCGAGGACTTTCGGGTGGGAAGATGATATTTTTTAGAACAAATTTCCGTCATCCTACCCGTCCATTTTGGTCATGGAATCAGAAAATCGAAACCTTTTCCTTCACTATAATTCCCAGGTCATTTGCTAACCCAACGGCATCATAACCACACTCACTTAGTCAAAACATCGCCTACTGCAAGAGACAAAGGCTAGATGCATCCCTGTGGGCAGCCTGTATATCGAAAGACCTTCTCGAAAGCTGTTAGGAATAAATAGCTTGAATACCTTCCTCCAGACAGATAATAATGTTTTCATTACTATTTTACCCCAAAACCCAAATCAGATCAGAAAGGAAGAGAATCTGGCTCGTAGATGAATTAATTACACCATTTAAAATGATAATGCTCATTATGAAGTGATTAATACATTCGAATTGTTATCGGTGTATGGGCTACGGTCGTTATTTACCGTTACATGTGCCATGAGCGTTACAATATAATTTACGCTCTCTGGCAAAATTCGCAACTTTGCAATATATTACGTTTTACAACACTTGCAAAATATTTTCAGGTTTGCATTTGCTGCATGTGCAGCCAACTTTAAGCGAAACAAAAAGACAATAGTGTATGTGTCAAATAAAAATGTCAGGTACCGGATCGCTGTGCTCCTACAGATTTTCTCAAATCGTGGTTATTTTACTAGTCCTAGTGGATCTTCGCCATGTCCAAGCTAATGTAAACAACCATTTGGCTGGCGTGCATCGACGCTTCGAATACAAATATTCATTTAAGCCCCCATATTTGGCTCAGAAGGATGGCACTGTGCCCTTCTGGGAGTACGGAGGCAGTAAGTACACCAACACAAATAAATTGACAGCTTCTACTGCTGGCAGTGGTTTAGCAACTTAGGCGACACGTCAGCTGTGGGGCCTTTGGGTCGCACAAGTTGGAGCGCCGCACAGTATGTGGCACATGAAGATGCGGTTAAATTCGATTTAGCCCCAGAAGCTAAAGCGAATTTGTATAATTTTTTTTCGTTTGTTAGGGTGTGAGGTTTATGTAGATAATCGTATTCATTAAAAAAATTTACAGATGCGATTGCCAGTGCGGAGAGCGTACGCGTGGCACCGTCAATGCGTTCACAAAAGGGTGCAATCTGGACGAAGTCACCAACGAACTTTGACTGGTGGGACGTAGAGATTGTCTTCCGAGTATCTGGTCGTGGTCGTATTGGCGCCGATGGTCTGGCATTCTGGTACACCACAGAAAAAGGAGATTATAATGGCGCTGTATTTGGTTCCTCCGATCGTTGGAATGGTCTGGGCCTATTTTTCGACTCCTTTGATAATGATAATAAACATAATAACCCATATATTATGGCTGTGGTAAACGATGGAACTAAGGCATTCGACCATCAAAACGATGGCACCACACAACTACTGTCTGGATGCCTGCGAGATTTCCGCAATAAGCCTTTCCCGACACGCGCTCGCATTGAATATTACAATAATGTATTAACAGTGTTGTTCCACAATGGTATGACCAATAATAACGAGGATTATGAGATGTGTCTTCGAGCTGATGGTGTCCAATTGCCCAAAAATGGTTTCTTTGGAATTTCGGCTGCGACCGGAGGTCTAGCGGACGATCATGACGTCTTCCACTTCCTAACTTCATCTCTACATCCGCCCGGTCAAGTTCCATCAGATCCTGTGAAAGTTCCAGAGAACTCGGAAAAGCTGACACAGGAATACAAGGAATACCAGGAGAAGTTGGACAAACAGAAGCAGGAGTATAAGAAGGAGCATCCTGATGAGGTACGTCAGCAACGGGTTGACATAGTGGTGACATTTTAAACGATTTTCTATGAAAGAAAAAACTACATAAAAATTTCTTAAACTATGTATGTATTTTATTCAGGTCAAAGATGATGATGAGTGGGAAGAGTTCTTTGAGTCAGAAAATCAACGTGAACTGCGTCAAATATGGCAAGGTCAAAGTCAAATTTTCGAGCAATTGCGGGATTTGTCTCGTAAAGTAGATGAAGTAATAGGCCGCCAAGAGAATACTCTATCTTTGGTATCAAGAAATGCGGGTGCTGCAGTTCAACAACAAGTGGGTGCACCAGGAAGCGCCGGCGCACCACCTGTTGCCACAGGCACGGTGAGTGGAACCATCACAAGACCAGAAGTCGATCTCGTTGTGGCGAACCAAAACGCACTGCTGGCAACTGCTCGCGAGATTCGTACACTAATTGGAGAGATTCAAGCACGTGCCGACACAATTATCAAAAGCCAACAACGTGCGCCCACAGCTCAAGTGCAAGCGGCTGGTTATGATATTCAGTCCGTTATCGCTGAGATGCGAGACGGTATGAATCAAGTGAAACAGGGTATGGCACATGTTGGACAAAAGTGAGTAGAACCCATATATATTATGATATAATTTCACCATGCCATATATATTTTTCTTTCGCTTTTCGCTTTTCTGAAATAAACTTTAAAATTTTGTATATGTTTACTGAAGGCTTGGATCGCCACAGGCTGGTTCACAAATCGCTTGCCCAACTGGAAATTGTGTTGGGATAACTTTGTTCCTAAGTGTGACCGTTGTGCAGCTGCTGCTGGTGTTCCTGTATTCATTCTTCAAGTGAGTAAAATTTGGAAAGTACACTCTTAACAAAGTAAAACTAAAGTTGGCTTATTATTTCAGAAGCCGCAGTGAAGCTCAAGCGAAGAAGTTCTACTAAGCCAAATTCAACAATAATAGGAAATTATGTGGAACGATTGAGTCAATTTTCTTTCTGCATGTAAATCGTTTGTAATGTCTATCCATCTTTTTAATTCGATTAAGTTGAAATGAAGTGTTCCATAAACTTCTCTACAACATTCAGTAAAAAAAAAAAAAAAATCGGATAAATGTGCATAGTATATGCGAAGAGAACAAAACGTGAACAACTAAAATAGAAAGGAGTGATGAACAATTCATCTTAAATACGAAGTAATTAAAGTTTTAAAGCTTGCTCAACATTGATGTTTTCAAGAATGAGATGGTATGAAATTTGTTAGCGTGCTTTACGTTTGCCCGATATTTAACGTTAAATCTATCATCTTTCCCGCCCGGTGCTCTCTCGTTCTAGATTGAAATTATATGTATGTACATACTTACATATCGCACGTTTAATAATATAGAGATGTAATTCAAAAAATTAATGTTTATGGAGATTTCATCATCCAATTAAGCTCGATAAGGAGAATATATACAGCCTGACAGATGACTAAACTTCCCTAAAATGGCGAAGATGTATGCCATTCCATCCTGCTTTTGGTATACCAACTGTATGAACTGATCAAACTTTGACTGCGTTTTCCCACAAAATTTAAATTTTCAAATAATTCGGCATATTATTAAACATGAGATATGTGTGCATGGCTCTCTTTGTTCATACTGACATTAATAATGTTAGAAATCTAGGAAAGTTAGTTAAGATTATATTATCGTAATTTTTCTTTTTCTACTTTTTACATTGCTCGTATAACATCTTTCAATATTACTCTCAGTTGTGTTAGAAATCATTGCAAAACACTTTGTTTTTCGGCATACGTACCGAAACATACTTAATTTATATCTATGTACTTCGTGAATGTTAAGATGTTATTTAATATAATCATTCCAGTCTGATGAGAATTGCGATAAATGTTTATTAAACTTTATTTTGATATGTATTAGGTTGACTATGAGCATTAAATTTAGATTTGAATTGCAGTTTTTTCAATTGAATTTTATAATAAAATTTTAAAAATTTGGAATCCATCTGTTGAAATTATTTTTACATGCGTGGAAACATAAACACTAGGCGGGTCCACTCACAAAAGAATTACTACGTTAATCGCATCCTACTTTGAAAGCTTGCCTTGAGACTATTTTGGTGCCTTACAAAATTTGCCACATATCGAGCAATATCGAGTTTTTCATAAATGTAGTCCAGTCAATTCGGTAAAATTTTCGTGTAACTTCAAATCCTTTCTTAAAAGATATTCCGTCTTGTTCAGAAAATTTCACTGATTAAAATAACGAATTGTCCTATCTTTCAATTTGAAGGTGCTTCTAATTATTTAAAATCTATTTGCATTAGCGCATCGCTGCTGAAACTACTGATGGTTTGTTTCTTGTTCGTCGTATTAAGAAGAAAGAAATATCGGTTTGCAGAAAAAAAATTAGCTAAATATTTGCAGTGGGAAGTAGTGCCAAAAATCAACGCGATTTTTAGCAACTTTAAGCTTGCACTTCATTGTACTAAAATTTAATGGGCTAAAGAGCTGCTAACGTAGAATTTTTCTAAAAAAAATCTAAATAGAAAGTTGCAAATTATTTAGTACGAAAATTTATTGAATTTTCTTTAGTTTTGCACAAAGTTTAGAGATTTTATATTTATGTTTTTTATGGTGT